TCTATATATATATATATATATATATATATAAAATTGCTAGTAATCCATTAAATAAAACCTCATAAATTTTATCCCATAAATTTTACCTACGTGGCATCTAACTTTCCAAAAATTGATTCTGTGAACTAAGACAGAACCGTTATAGTTTATATGAATTGAGTATTAATAATTATATTTTATAGTAAATGATATATGAAAGTTACGTAAACATAAAAAATTATGTTGTAATTTTTTTTTGGTCCAAGTTATTTATTCTAAAACCAATTTTATATTTTTTTTATCTGATTAAGCGATTATTTTTTAAATAAATTAAGTTGTTTTAATGTCATAGTAAAATCTCATGAAATAGCGTAAGCAATTGTTATAAAAAATTTAATATTTTTCAGCAAATTAATTGATCATAATCTCTCAAAATTACAAATTATATATTATTTTATTACATTTTATGCAATCAATATAGTGATTCATATGCAATCGGATAGTTACGTACTATTTATATTAACCAATGATCAAATTTTAAAACATAATACCATTATCTAACTTATAATTTTTATATTATATGCAAAAATATAATTTATAATACTCTATGTATAAAATATAATATCATTATCTAACCTTTTTTTTTGGCCGAAACGATAGATATATTATAAAAGGGCACAAATGTGCAAAATTACAGCCACCAGCCGAATATAAACAGCCAACAGCCGAATATAAGCGGCTAACACCTGAGAAAACTGGGAGGACAGGTCAAAAGACCGCCTAAAACCGACCCCAACGGGGTAATACTCAACAACACTAAAAGACACAAAAAACAACAGCACAATACAAAGACCCCCACAGGGTAATACCTGAGTGTCGGACCCCCACAGGGTAATAAAAGTGACATTGGGCGCACAGGGGCCAACGGCCCAAACCAAAAACACAGGAAACTAATACAACACAAACACTCACAGCCAACCAACCTAAAACTAAACAATGAAACAAAAAAAACATCAAAGCCCTTCCACATAAGCAAATCCAAGACAAACCAACAAGCACCAAATCGACCCCAGAGGAATCCCTTAGCCCGAGAAGGCCGACCCCTCCACTGTCTAACCGCCTAGCTGAGCCGAATTCCAAGCATCGGAATATCCCCAAAAGGCCAATTCTCCCCAAGCCGAAAAACTCCAGATAGCACCCATCCGCCGCAGTATCAAGCCGACTAACACCACTAGCAACTCAATACCAACGACAAACACTCCAAGACCCCGCATAAGAGAGGGTACCCAGCCACCAGCGAGCTGGGCCAAGCCGACTAACACCACTAGCAACTCAAAACCGATCGGCAAGCAAACCAAGGACCCCGCGCCAGAGAATCAGGAGTGGGAGCCGAGCCGAAGTATCAGCCCTAGCCACTCCGGCTAGAAGCCGCAAGCCGCTGGAGCCGCACCCGACCCCTTCCCGCTGAGCCGCACCTCATCCAAAACCCACCGCAGCTCCACGGTGGTCAATAATCGCGAAACTGAAACAGGGCAACACCGCAGAACCACAGCATCGGAGCAAGAGGGCAGCACCATCCCCTCATCGCAGCACCGGAGCAGGCGACTTGGATTTGGGCGAACTTCAATCTATTGCGCGACAAGGAGAGGGAAGCTGCAACAACGGAAAGAGGCCAAGCGGCCAGGGGACGCCTGCCGGCGAATCTCAGAAACCCAGTGGAAGGCGGCGAAATAGAGTACAGCGGCGCTTTTCTTTCGGAATTGGGGGAAGGAGGACGAGGGTTTTCAATTTGTGTGTGTGTGTTTCACTTTTTGTTTTTTGTGAAAAATGAGGATTCATTATCTAACTTATAATTTTAATATTATATGCATATAAATAACTTATAATACTTTCTTTATATATCTGCCAATGCACAAAGTCGAATACTAGTTCATAGAATTTTCGTGTAATCGATACTCAGTTTAATAATAAATACATGTTATCGTACTGAATATTGTTAGGACCAGCAACTCAAAACTCAGTTCTCCATCAAGCCCAAATTTCAAGTCCAAATGGGGTTCCATTCTAAAACCAATTGGCAATAGAAGGAGTAGCCCATCAAACTTATATATTGGGGTTGGAACCTCTAATTATTCGATGTGGGATTGAGTTTGCACACCCTACAAACCTCCCCTCAAACACAAGACCACATTGGGCCTCCACTTGAACGAAATTTATACGATCCGACCATTTTGTACCGCCATTATCACCCACTGAACCCGCCGCCTGACCACCTTTTCGCCAAGAAGACTTTAGACACAAGGCACACGAATCCACCAGCCGTCCACCGGTTCCACGAGGAACATGGCACGTCATCCACATCGCATCTCGGCTACCAACCGTTGCTCTGACACCAATTGTTAGGCCCAACAACTCAAAACTGAATTTTTCATCAAGGCCAACCTACAAGTCCAACATACAAGCCCAATGCTAATGGAGTTTTATTTTAAAACCAATTGGCAATAAAAAGAGTAGTCCACCAAATTTATATATTGGACTTAGAACTTTTAATTTTTCGATGTGGAATTGAATTTGCACACCCAGCAAATATGCTAGCAATTTCGTTCCATGCCAATTCATGTAGTGAAAAACAAACAATTATGTTGAGCAATTTGTGGCGAGATTGGTATTGGAATTTTCAAATTAAGTACGATTCAATCCAATTTGAAACCATTGAATTTTAGCTCTTCTATGCAAAAGAGGACGGTCGCCAATCCACGTGCTAGGTGGGTCAGTACAAATTTAATTAATAATATTAGGGGCAAGCTTCAAGATTAAGTCTAGATCTGGCGGTCCATAGGATTTATGTGTTGCAAGCACGTCATGACAATGTCCCTTCAGTTTTTTACATTTTATTTATTTATTTATTTTTTGTGTTTAATCCGCTTCATTAAGTCAAATCCATTTTGAAATAAGATGAAAAGATTTCAATTAAATAGGGTCTAGTGGTTATATTTATTTACACTTATTTGCACATAAAATTTATAATTACATCCCTACAACGTGGCCCTATCAGTAAAGGGGCAACGTAACTGAAAGATCATGAGATGAGAGGAATCATATACACTCGTGCAACCACACTACTTCATAAGGCCATAAGGGTGTTCCTTTTGATTAACATCTTTTTTTCCCCTTTAGATCTTCCTAAGGTGTTCTTAATCTTACCATAGTATTTATGCATGTAACATGCTGCTCAGTCTAGACAGTGTGTCTCTTTATGTGTATGTATGCACGCCTATGGATGTTTTAAAGTTGAATTGGTGTGACTTGAACCTAATGAAGAATTTAGTAAGATGCTAGTTTTTTTAATTTCTTGAACCTAACTTGAACTGCCTTTTTGTTGGCCTACAAAAAGACAACATGTCTAACAACTAAGTGTAGCAGAGATGCGTATGTTGCGTTGGTTCTTCGGGCAAACAAGAAGGGATAGAATCCGAAATGAGTATATTCGAGATAGGGTCGGGGTGGCTCCAATTGAGGAGAAATTGGTTCAACATCGGTTCAGGTGGCTCGGACATGTCCAACGGAGGCCTCTTGATGCACCGGTGCGTAGGGGAGTTCTACAGCGGGCCAATGATTTAAAGAGAGGTAGAAGTCGGCCTAAACTTACTTGGGAAGAGTCGGTTAAGAGAGACCTTAAAGATTGGAATATCTCCAAGGATTTAACGGTGGATAGGAGCACTTGAAGGCTAGCAATTAACGTGGCAGAATCGTGACTTTTGCTCCTTTCTCTTTTGCTCCAATCTTTTCCTTTTGTTTTGAGCCCTTTTTGTGTTTCTCTTACCATTGGTTCTCTTGAATTTCATCTCTAGTCTACCCCAACTTATTTGGGACTAAAATGTTATGTTGTTGTTGTTGTTGTTACTAATTTTTTAATTTCTACTAGTAATTAAGATAGTAAAGTCTATACATTTTTTTTTCTTTATGGATTTCATCAATGAACATGTAGTTCAAGACTTCAACACTATTATTCCATGATTAGATGTAATCTATATTTCATAGATGAATCATAATTGTGAGTTGTTGTATTACCTCAACATTAACACTATTATATCGATTTAGGTTATGGTGCCTACAATTTATTAAGTAGTTAACTTTAACCTAACTTTGTTTTCGCCTCAATAGATGTTGAACTTCTTTTTTACCCAGAAAATGATGACATGACTCTACACGACAGGTAGAATCGTTTTCGTCCAAAAATTTCTAACATGTTGTGACCGCGCGTCGCGACGCGGGAAATTTAAATTTATAAAGTTTTTCCTCGACTAACCTTTATTAACTAGTAGTAGCGGCGAGTAAGGGTCGATCCCACGAAGAGCAGGAATTAAACTGTGATATTCTTGTATTAATCGAATTCAACCTACTAAAGCAATAAAAAAAGGGGGGATGGATTTGATATAACTAAAAATAAAATAAAAATCAAATAGAATAAGAGAAGTCTAGTTTTCGGTTCAGTTATCACCCAGTCTAAATCTACCGTTAATTAATTTCAATGCTTTCTCTAAATTGCCGAAGATTACCAACCCTAGCTAACAACAAGCTCTATTAACCGAATTTTCCCTTACCGAATATTTAATCGAAATAGGCTCTTCGACTAAACCTAACTGGTATTGGATCGCACGACAATAGCTCACGTGAATTTCCATCCAATGCTTCGCGTCCACAAAATATTTCAAAAAGCTGAAAATAAATATAAAAATATCAATGTGTATGAATCCATTCAAATAATAAATAAGTCGAAAAATATAAACGTGCGAATAAATTTAATGTATAAAAATATACTATTGAATATATAAAACGTGCAGATTTTTCGACCTATCATGTTGCAGGCCAAATTTAAAAAACAATACACCAAGTTAAGTCATTGTTCAAAAAAGAAACATTTAGTTGGGCATATCTAAGAGGACACAATAATTTGACAAACTAATTAAATATGATGCATTAGTCACTCCATTCGAATAAAGACATGGATGATATCGGAAGAGTTGATAATTTGAATAATGCATCGTATTTGCCCAATTCGTCAAATTATTATCTCTTTGATATGATCTAAATAAATGTTTTTTTTTTTTTTTTACAACACNACACCCAACTTAGTGTATCTTTATTTTTAAATTTTGTCCACGTTGCACGGTCGAATATCATGTTCAGTCGTTTTCATTACAAAACAAAACAAAATTGAATCTGTCTGATTACATTAACCCAATCAGATTTCATATCAGGCGTTTCATCTATATAAATTATTAAAAATTTGAAATTTGTTAACACGTTGGAATTCCCTGTTCAGTTGTTTTCGTTTAAAATTAAATAAAATTGACCTTGTATGAGCAAATGGACACAATCATATTTTGGGAAAATTCGATATTGTCCCTATGGGCTGACTGCACTATCGCGTCGAAATTGCCCATAATTTGTGTTTTAATTGATTCCAATTAAAAGAAATTTAAATTTGTATGACTGGATACATTGTGGAAAGTGACTTTATTTCGTGTTAAGTCGTGTTCTTTATTTTGAACACGAAGCATGTGAAGTGATTGTAAATACATAAGATATGGACAAATAATGTGAAAATTACAACGATATATATTGTAAATATTATATTATGTGGTAAATTAATTTAAAGTATTTTATAATATTATTATATAGAGTATTATAAATAGTGGTTAGGACTTGTAATTAGCACAAATAAGAAAGGTATAAACTGTACTCAAAATTTTCATATATTCTCTAGTCCATTTTTCGAAATGTTTTTAATTCCCCACTTTAACTCTTGGTCTATTTTATTGTAAATGGATTTAATGAGTTCCGTAATAAAGTATTTAGTTTATTCTCATCAAGAATTTTGTTGCTTTTCGGAGTTTGATTGATTATTTTTTTTTTAATTATAAATCGTTAATTACTTTTCCTTTTATGAAAATGGCTATAGCTATGAATAACTTCATATCAATAAAACAATTATGTAATATGCTATGAAGATTGTATTAAAATCACTTTCTCAACCAAAAAACTATTATATTAATATAAATTCTAGATGTTGAACTTGAATTCTAAATATACTAAATAAATAAATTTTTAATTTATTTTTTAATAGTTACAAGATGACAGAAATGCTATTTAACAATATGATAGATATGTAGATGCAACTTGAGTTGAGTTGGCTCTTTTTGTTGACAAGGATGGCGCCAAATTCAAAGATTTACGCGGGAATCGTTTGATACCAAACCAATCAATGTTGCCTGAATCTAACACCACCATACATAGCACATCTCCCTTGTTGTCCTACTTTTAGATAGTTTACTATTGAGCTGACAGTTTTTTTAATAAGATTTAGTTATTTTTTTATTTTTTATGAGCACGAATTAATATGTTTACCAATTGATATGGTAGAAGATTAATATATCATAAGGTATATATAGTATTCAAAGATTAAAAAATCTATTTATTTATTGAGAGGGATACAAAAATATTAATTATCGTTGATTTAACGGTAGTTGAATAGGCTGATCAATTGATCATATTTTTCGAACAAAGTATATAGCACCGTTGTCATATTTTTCAATACATGTTAAAGTTGTGTTTAAATTATTTTTAAAAAAAAAACCATTTGATCATGTAAAATTATTGAAAAATTATGTATCTATAATGAAATATGCATTTCTTTGTCCTAATTTCATGTTCGTTTTTCCCCAGAGGAC